TCTGAAGAAGGGTCTAGGCCCGAAACGTCTGCCTTCCTGCTCCTCTGATGCTGCTTGGCCTGCTGTGTTCATCCAGCTCTACACCTTGTTTCTCAGATTCTCCAGCATCTGCAGTTCCTGCTATCCAGTGATATGCCACTGGATAGCAGCCTCCAGTCGCACAAACAACCTACTACCACCACCCTATGTCTTACGCTGCTAATTTTAGATCCACTGTGCCAAGTTACCCTGGATTCCATATGATTTATTCTTGAATAAATGGCAAACCAAAGTAAATTATTCTTTATTACTATGCAACTTAGATGATGGTTCTTTAAAACTCCAAATGCTTCATGTTCACTCACTCACAAATAAGGCAAACGAAAAGAGACAGTTTGATGCAAATATTATAAGTGGAAAAATATAGATAGGGAAAAATGAATTTATGTAGTTCAGGCCACAAGGGTGGGGGGAGCTGTTTGTCAGTTTCTTTGTTTTGTTTTAATTGTTAATGACACAATGTTGTCCACAAAACAATAGTTGATCTTCAATTCAATAGCTGATCAAGAAACCTTTGTCTTCAATTGAATTAGAACACTTGCTATTCAGAATCTTCATGTTTGCTTTTCTTTTTCACTCAAAGATGCTTCTTATTTTCAGGATTCTGGACATTCTGAGTGCACGGCACTCAGCTCTGTAACAAACTATAGCTGAACCAATCCAAACGGTATCATCAAGCATTGTTCCCTTAACTGAAATGCTCTTGAGACTTCTGAGACAGTAAGTAATCACCTCAGTGCCCCAAAAAGTAACATAATACCGTGCAGCTAAAGCATATACCCTCGATCTTCAAATTGCAAAAACTGTCTTGGCACTTTCAGCTCTAAATCAGTTCAATTTCCATTTTCCAGTTTATAGTCCAAAAGGGGGAAAAAAGAAACTATGCAGCCCTTAAAGCAAAACTCAAGCATTACAATATCATCTTGTTTTCTGAAAGCTATGTTCTAGAACTAGTCAAAAAATAAATCTGAGACAGTCGAGGAGCCAAGAAGTACAGGGAGCGTATCGCCAAAGAATGTTCAATGAAAACAATTACAAGTCCAAAATCATTAAACTTTACATTCAGTTTCTCATAAGCTTTGGACTCAATTTCATCTGTCCTCCACTTGACAACAGATGACCAAGATTGGGAGCTGAATATTCAAGGATATTTAACACTAAGAAATGATAGAATACTTAATATTTTACAATAATGCAGGAAAACTCAAGGTTCATCAGTTGTGACTTAACAATCCTGCAGCCATTAGTGCCTTAAATAATATTGGTCAAGAATCACTGTTTCCTCAAGGGAAAGAGCTTTCAAAAGTAGAACTAGGCTCATCAATTATAACGAAACACTAACCTCATGGAAATTCTCTTCAGTTATCCCACCTTCTTCGATGTGAAGAATGCTGTTAAGTGTTTGCACATAAAGCAAGTCCACCTCCTCAAGATCTTCCAAAGAAAGTGGAATACAGCAAAGTTGCTTCCATACCATTGGTGCTAAGTGGAGATCCAATGGTTTCTTTGTACGAATGGCAACACCCATAAGAATTCCTAAAAATTTGAACTGCATTAGGTGCTCATCTGAACATGCTGAAGGGTTCAGGAGGAATCTGTAGAAAAACAAGTAAGTTCCTTTATGAATTTAGAAATTTGTTATTGCCCCTCAACAATTAGCTGAATAAGGCAGTGAACTTTCACATACTAAGAAAATTACACCAGCAGCTCTAAATGACAGCGATTAGGTTTAGATAACAACCACATTGGTGGTAAAAATGTTGCTTTTGATTTTCAAAACTTGCATAAGGGAGAATAAATGGCTGGAATAAATCCAAGAGGTTATCAAATAAATGGAGAAAAAGATAAACCAATCTGTGGAAACAGTGATGAAGTGGACTGGTAGTGGGAGCTGTCCAATCGCTTGTAAACTGAAGGCTTTGCTGCATTAGCAAGATTGCCTAAATACCTCCCTTTAAAACAGACATGCACCATACATGGCAAAAGCTGTTTCTAGGCAGTGTGAAGTAATTATAGATATGGTCACGTATGCCTCATTTTAAACAAGTGATAAGAACAAGTACAATAAAACATTACAACACAGGAACAGGCTTTTTGTGCCAATATGTGATGCCTTTCTAAAGAAAAAAACCTTTTGCTTTTACGAAGTATGTATCTTTCTATTCATAGATCTATCCAAACGCCTCTTAAATGTTGCTATTGTATCATAGAATCATAGAATCCCTACAGTGTGGAAACAGGCCCTTCGGCCCAACAGGTCCACACCGGCCCTTGGAGCATCCCACCCAGACCGATCCGCCTATAACCCACACACTCCTGAACACTATGGGCAATTTAGCATGGGCAATTTAGCGTGGCCAATCCACCTAGCCTGCACATCTTTGGACTGTGGGAGGAAACTGGAGCACCTGGAGGAAACCCACGCAGACACGAGGAGAATGTGCAAACTCTACACAGTCGCCCGAGGCTGGAATCGAACCCGGGTCCCTGGTGTTGTGAGGCTGCAGTGCTAACCACTGAGCCACCGTGCCGCCCCTATCTACCTCCATCAGCTCCTGTGGCAGCACATTCCAGGCACTTACCATACTCTGTGTTAAAAAAAAAACTTCTCCCTCCCATCTCCTTTAAACTTACTCCTTTTATATTAAAACTATATCTCCTTGTAATCAACATTTCTCTGGGAAAAAGATTCTGGCTATTCATTCTATCCAAGCCTCTCATAATTTTGTAAATTTCTGTCAGGTCGCTTCCTCATCCTTCAATGCCATTCTGAGGAGGGGTCACTGGACCTGAAAAGTTAACTTTGATTTCCCTTCATAGATGCTACCAGATCTGCTGAGCTTTTCCAGCAATTTCTGTTTGTTTCTAACATCCTGCTAAAACATTTCTGTACCCTTTCTAAAGCTTCCACATCCTTCTGGTAGTGTGGTGGCCAGAACTGTCCACAATATTCCAAACACGGCCGAACTAAAGTTCTATACAGCTGCAACATGACTTGCCAATTTTTATACTATGTACTCTGACCGATAAAGACAAACATGCCATATGCTTTCTTGGCCACCTTATCCACTTGTGTTGCAGGTAACTGTAAACTTGTGCAGCTAGGTCCCTCTGAATGTTGATGCTACTAAGGGCTCTGCCCTTCACTGTATACTTGTTTCCTGTGTTAGATCTTCATTTCACATTTGTCTGGATTAAGCATCACCTGCCATTTCTTCATCCAAGTATCTGGCGTATCTATACCCTGTTGTATCCTCCGGCAGTCCTCCTCACCATCTGCATCTCCCCAAGTCTTCGTGTCATCTGTAAGCTTACTAATGAGGCCACCTATATTCTCCTACAAACTATAAACAAACAGGGGGCCTGGTGCTGATCTGTGTGGAACACCACGTCATAGTTCTCCAGTCAGAAAAAGAACCTTCCACCAATAGTCTCTATCTTCTATGACTAAGCCAGTTCTATATCCATCTTAACAGCTCACTGCAGATCCCATGTGACCTCACCTTTTGTATCAGCCTGGCATGAGGGAACTTGTCAAAGGCCTTCCTAAAGTCCCCTAGACAACGTCTACCACGCTGCCCTCATGAATCATCTTCATCACTTCCTCAAAAAACTCAATCACGTATGTGACACAAATCGTTCTCTGCATAAAACCATGCTGCCTGCCACTAGTAAGTTGATATTTTTCCAAATACGAGTAAATCCTATCCCTATGAATCCTCTCCAATAATGTAAGGCTTGCTAGCGTGTAATTTCCCAGACGATCCCTGTTGCCCTTCTTAAACCCTTATGATCCTTATATAGCTACAAAACACCTTGAGATTTTGCATAATCCTGCTTGCCAAAGACATGGCCCCTTTTAGTCACCCTTATGCCTTGTTTGATTTCTTTCCTGCCATCTTTTTCTTTTTAACTAAGCTCTCATCACAGAAACATGCTGGTCTTGAACTCCCATCAGCTGGTCTCTGAAATGTCCCCACTTGCTAGGTGTGGACTTGCCCTCAGACAGCTGCCCACAATTTACATTATCCAGCTCCTGTCTCATCCTTTTCCATAAGTAACTTAAAACTTACAGAATTACAGTCACTGTTCCCAAAATGCTCCCCCTCTGAAATTTGGATCACTTAGCCAGCTCATTCCCCAATACCAGATCTAGTACAGCCCTCTCTCTGATTGGACTATTTATATAGTTTCAAAAAACCATGCTGGAGTCACAAAACAAAATCCACCCTCCATCCACCGCCTACCCCATCCCCTTATCCAAGCCACTGAGACTAAGTGGGTGGCAGTCCATATAGGGGATGTTAAAATCACCCACCATAACAACCTTGTTGTGTTTACATTTTTCCATAGCTCTGTTACTCTATCATCTGCTGGCTTTTTTTTTTATTTATTCACAGGATGAGGGCATTGCTGGCTAGGCCAGCATTTATTGCCCATCCCTAATTGCCCAGAGGGCCCTTAAGAGTCAACCACATTGCTGTGGGTCTGGACTCACATGTAGGCCAGACCAGGTAAGGATGGCAGTTTCCTTCCTTAAAGGACATTAGTGAACTGTTGGAAGGTCTATAGTACAATCCCATCAAAGTGGGAACTTTTTCTCTCACTCTTCCTATTCCTGGGGTCTACCCATGTGGCCTTGCTAGATAGCCTGACAAGGTGTCCTCCCTCAGTACAGCTGAGTATTAGTAACACAACTCCCCAATCTCTTTTACTACCCCTCATCTTGTGTGAAATATCTAAACTCCATATAGTTAAGCTGCCAGTCTCTCTTTTTATTCATTCATGGGATGTGGTCATCATTGGCTGGACAGCATTTCTTGCCCATCCTTAGTTGCCCGCGAGAAGGAGGTAGTGAGCTGCCTGCTTGAACCGTTGCAGTCCACCTGCCAACCCACAATGCTGTCAGGGAGGGAATTCCAGGATTTTGACCTGGCTAGAGTGAAGGAATGGTGACATATTTCCAAGTGAGCCTGGTGAGTGGCTCGGAGGGAAACTTGCAGGCGGTGGTGTCCTCATGTATTTGCTGCCCTTGTCTTTCTCGATGGAAGTGGTCGTTGGTTTGGAAGGTGTTGTTTGAGGATCTTTGGTAAATTTCAGCAGTGCATTCTGATAGATAGTACACACTATTGTTACCAAGTGTCACTCGTGGAGGGAGTGGATGCTGTGGATGTGGTGTCAAACAAGTGGGTTGCTTTGTTCTTGATGGTGTCAAGCTTCTGGAATGTTGTTGGAGCAGCACCCATGCAGCCAAGTGAAGAGTAGATGGTGGACAGGCTTTGGAAAATCAAGAGGTGAGTTACTTGCCGCAGTATTCCTAGCCTCTAATGTTGTGTGGCAGGTCCAGTTGAGTTTCTGGTCAATGGTAACCCCTAGGAAGTTATTAGTGGGGTATTCAGTGATGGCAACGCCATTGAATGTAAAGGGGCAGCGGTTAGATTGTCTGCTATTGGCGATGGTCATAGCCTGGTACTTGTGTGGTGTGAAAGTTGCTTGCCATTTGTCAGCCCAATCCTGGATATCGTCCAGCTCTTGATGCAGTTGAACATGGGCTGCTTCTGTATCGGAGGATTCGCGAATGGTGCTGAACATTGTGCAATCATCAGCCAACATCTCCACTTCTGACTTTATGATGGAGGGACGGTCACTGATGGATGAAGATGGTCGGACCTAAGACACTGCCTGAATGAACCCCAGCAGATATCCTGGAGCAGAGATGACTATCTTCCCGTGTGCCAGGTATGGCTCCAACCACTGGAGAGTTTGCCTCCCGATACCCATTGATTCCAGCTTTGCTAGTTGAGTGCAGCCTTGATGTCAAGGGCTGTCACTCTCACCTCACCTCTGGAATTCAGCTCTTTTGTCCATGTTTAAACTAATGCTGTAATGAGGTCAGGAGCCGAGTGGCCCTGGCAGTACCCAAAGTGGGCATCTCTGAGTTGGTCATTACTGGTGGAGGCTCGTCGGTTAGTACTGCTGTCACACAGTGCCAGTGACCCGGGTTCAATTCTGGACTTGGACAAGATTCTGTGTGGAGTTTGCACAGTCTCCCCATGTCTGGATTTCCGCCGGGTACTCCCGTTTCCTTCCACAGTCCAAAGATGTGTAAATTAGGTGGACTGGCATGCTAAATTGCACATAGTGTCCAGGGATGTGTAGCTCAGATGGATTACCCATGGCGAATGCTGGATTACAGGGATAGGGTAGGGGGATGAGATTGGCTGGGATGCTCTTGAGTGAGTCAGTGTGGACTTCTTGGGCCAAATGGCCTGTTTTCACACAGTTACTGCTTGATAGCACTATTCATGGCACCTTCCATCAATTTACTGATCATTTGAGAATAGGCTGATAGAGCGGTAATTGGCTGGATCGGATTGTCCTGCTTTTATACAGGATATAGGTGGGCAATTTTTCACATTGTCAGGTAGATGCCAGTGTTGTAACTGTAGTGGAACACAGCTTGGCTAAGGAAGGAGCAAGTTCTGGAGCACAAGCTTTCAGTACCATTGCTGCAATGTCTAAGGACTGGTATCTGTAACGCTGGGGGCCATTGGAGGAGGGCGAGATGTATATTGGTCAATATATTTAATCATCT